TTTACATACATTGGGGTGGTTGAAAAGGGCTTCATGCAGGCATATGTTTCACGTTATGTAAGTTATATCACCAATGGAAGCCCCTACGCTACTAAGGGACCTCCATTGGACACCCCTTGAAGGTCCAGGTATATGTCTTTGGGACGACGTGGGTTCCATTTAGGCCCTAGACATAGGGAGAACTTCTCACGTCGAACTATCATAACCGTGGCTTCTCACCTTTTCCTTTGACTACATTGATATGGTACAATACCTGTATAGATATCCAAACATGCATGACTTACTCTCCCTGAAACTCAACGTGGAAGTCGGAAAACCAGTTGCTTGTAGAGGAACATGGTCTTCCAAGGGACCATTTTCCACTTCCTTCTATGTTAGTTCTTATTGTGTATACATGATCCCTGTCACTTTGATTCTCGGACTGGTGTGGGGTCAGCGTTACTGCACCTTTCCACGGCAATGGTTTTGCAAGCTTCAATCTTTGCTGCGAGAATCAACCAATGTTCGAGCAAGCGGATTGGCAAAATGAGGGAAAATCCAACTAGTGCAGGAGAAACCCTCAACTTGCTGCATGCAATTGCTAATCGATCATTCATCAATCTATCCAGTGCAGTACAATTTGGGATCGTGTCGTTTGTTTTCATTCACGATGCATGCATGCGACAGGGTTTATGGAACAGACCCATGCCATATTGCACCTTCACATACATGCACAACATAATAAGCATCTTCAGAAACTTTGTGAAGCACCCCTGGTATAGTGGAATGATGAAGGCAATGTTGCCTACAAGTTGCCATGTTTGTCGCAAGTGTTGTTTCTCACTTCTCCAGGTTTCCCCATGAACATTCACTCCAACGGTCGCAGGAGCCCTGTCAGATGGCCAGTGATGGCTTCACACACTGCAGGATTGCACGTTTTCTGGCGGGCAAGGCACTGCACGTGAATGGCGGGCAAGGCATGACGCCTAGGTTGATGGCTGGGTACCTCTCCAGGGTGCATGTTCATCGTGTAATTGATGGCGAACATCATGGCATGCCTGCAGAAGTGACAGTTAACATGATCAAAAGAACTACACTCCCTCGTTCGCATCATGCAAGTGGATGTCATAGCCCCCGGAAAGACCATGGTCCACTTCCGTTGGCGGTGGCGGGGGTCTGAGACCATGCGGGCAGACGTGGCCCGTATGCTGGTGGCCTGCCGTTTTCCATGAGTTCCTTGGTTATTTCAGTGCTCACATGAGCAGGGAAAGCCAGCTGGGACTCCAGACCTAATCACACGCTTACTTACTGTACCCTGAAGATCAATCTCAGGTCTTAACCCACACCCACTGCCTTAAAGTCTTCGATCTTCGAGCCCAAAATCAAAAGACAGAGGCACCAGAAAAAGAAGCGAAGCGGCACACAGAGTGGCTTCTCAGACGTGGTTTCTCAGAGTCGCTTCACAGGACGCAGGAAACCAACAAATAGTTACCGAAAAGGACACCGTGCGAGCCTTCCGATGCCTCCAACGCTTCGGGTGGCGCGGCGCGTGGCGCACGTGGCGCACGTGGCGCGTGGCCACATCGGTCGCCAGGACGGTGAAGTCCCGGCAGGTCCGGCGAGCTGTTCACCCGAAGCCCTTCGGTCCAGGCAGATCGAAGGGGAACTTCTTCCAGACTTCAGGCGAGTCCGAACGGACCCCGGGAACTCCACGGGTACCCTGGACCCTTCCTGTTTGGGTTTTGCCGGGTGGGTGCGATGGAGTGAAGAACCCTTCCGGGGAAGAGGGTTTATATCGTTTCCTTCGTTCAAGCGAAATGCAAGTTCTGCCGAGTCTTGAATGCCCGGCCAGACTCGGCAGAACTCGCTGAATTCCTCCAGATAAAGAGGATCGGAACTGGCAATTAAGGATTGGCCGGATTTGCAGTTGTGCGTTTGCTCAGGATGGTTCCCATGACCCATGGTTTGAACGACGTTTTTCTGTGCTTTCACTTGAAGGCCATGGTTATGGTTCCATGGGAAAAACGAACACAACCTACACAGACTTTAAAACTGCTATACGGTTCGTTTGAGGGTGTGATGCCATGGTCCATGGTTTTCAGAGTTCTGCGCGGATTACTCAGACCCCACTAGGACCTGCTGCTGGATGACTAAGACGGAAGCGTGTTCCGCGGCCAACGGACTCGGAGGTCACTTGCCGCATCGAGACTTGGATTCCTGGGAGCAGCAGAAAGCGATCATGCCGGGCCTCCCGGAAATGGGCGCAGGAGACTAGCGCTGGATGGAATCGAAGTCACCGAAGCTGCATGGATTGACCAAACGGTTAGAAGCCACGGGAGGAGTGATGGGTGCAGGTTAGGCGATGGCTTCCCATGGGCTACTCTTCCGTCAGGGCACCCACAACAATATATTATCGAATTCCATCAAATGTGGATGCGAAAAGGTGGGTAGGTAGGTTGACATTCGGCAGTCGAGTCTGTTGATTTGCCTCGGGGTCAACCAGATATGGCTCGTTGCCATCCCCTACACCGTGAAGCTGACGGACCTGGTGAATACGCAGAACACCCCGCATTTGACCTGAGGCCCGAACGCAGCTGGAGCCAATCTGTCCCTTGGTGATGATCGGCAAATCCGTTTAAGATAAATCATCTTTTTTATTTGCCTGTGTATTCGAAGGTTCTATCGGACTCTATCGGGTATTGGCAGCTTTTGTGAGTGAGTGTCATGTGGGGAAGCAACTTTCGATGCTAAAGGCAATTGTCGCTCAAATGGTCAGAGAGAAGGGCTGCTTTTGGACAGAGGGAGACAAGCTGAAGGATCAGTTCAGTGGTTGATGCCTTGTCCAGTGAAGGCATGAAACACCTTCAACGGTATCAAGTGGTCAAGAGAATGATGCGGCAGAAGACGACAACAAGGAGTAGCCATGGTTTGTGGTCAACGTTACGATAGCTATGAAGATTGCAACTATCCAAAAGAGTGAGTCAGCTGCAGTGCTGAATGCTGCAAAGAAACCGGCCAGGTGGGGATTGGGAAACTACAAAAATACCGCCCCCCCATTGCAGGATGTGAATAAAAGATACTGAGAAGCAGTAAACTGTTGAAACGGTAGTTATACTTTCTTAAACTGGTACTGTCCCGGTAATCCCTGAAGTACTTTGATTGACACCAGGTGCAACTTGACAAGAGAGAAACAGCCACACATGGTCAAATGACTTTAGACAACGCCCGCGGGGCAATGAGGTTCTTATCCGTTTTGGGGCTCTTGCAATTGTCCACTATGGGTGTAATTATAGTCCCTATAGGACCCAGGGCTCCAAGTACCTCCTCAGGAGGTATGACTGGACCCTCTTGGCACCCACCCCAGTCCCAGCGAACCCAAACGAAGGTACGACTGGAGCCGGGATTTGGTGCGGATCGCATCGATCCGTGTGTTCGGAAGAATAACAGGAAAAGACTTGCCTCCGTGTGCCTCTAGGTGTGACCGCTCACAGTGTGGTCCGAGTAGTCGTTGGTCCGCCTGGACCAAGACAGGAACATGTATGGTGCTTGGTGAATTTGGAATTCAAACCGCATGTATACCTGGATCTTCCAACTTGCCTTTTGGCTGATTTTTTGGATGAAAAGTCATAAATTTGGCATAGTTGGAAGATCCAGGTATAGACTGATGAATACTCACCTAACTCCCCAAGACTGGTTTTACATCTCCAGGTTTGGGAAGTTTGATTGTACCCAAAACACTTATGCCATATGTGCCTGCATTGCCCCCCCCCAACCACCCACCAATTGCGGACGGTGGTCGACCATGGGGCGCTCAGTGCTTTCACGGTACCGAGGCGATGACCTTTGTGCGGTCGACCATGGGGCGCTCAGTGCTTTCACATGGTGACTTGCAGGTAACTGCTGTTGGCGTGTGTTCCGGAAAGTAGACTCGCTTGATCAATCAAATTCACCCCGTTTGGCATTGCAAAACCTCTTCTGCCTCTGGGGACTATAGCTATATAAGGAATCAAGAGTCTGCATTGAAGATTTGGCGGTGTTTCTTGTGTTGAACTGATTGGATGCTTGGTTTCCTGAAATGGTTCTTCCACCACGCGTTACGCGTGGCGTCTGGCGCCAGCTTGGGCAGGACGGACACCCACATGGCGCGCACCGTCGCGGGGTCCCTGATCGGTCGCCAGGTGGTGCCAAATGGGTTTGAGCGGAGAAGAAAGACAGCACATCACATTTGGACATGATTCGACCTGGAAAGAAGCAACTCTTACCTCTGTGATTTGACTGTGCAAGACCTCAGGTACCACATTGAGTATCAAAAAATATCACTTGTTATCAATCACACCAAGTGCGCATGCGGACGACGCAAGAAGTGCACTTGTTTGCAAAGGTGTCATAGCTTTTGAGAGAGTGGATGTTCTCCATATTAATGGTTCTGATTGTAGCTCATCACATGGCTCCAACCAGTTGATGTCCTGACTTTTTCCATCCCCAGTTTCGCGGGGTGGCCTCAAGCTTGGAGAAAGATGAGAGGCCAAGTGACCTTTTCTAATGTGGGGTCGTCAGGGTTGGAGGGGATTGAATTCGTCCAGCTGCCGGCTCAAGAAAGCTGTAGGGAACCATGACCAGGGAGCCGTTCATGACTATGAGATACTATGAGCACGGATGTGATTCATAAAGCACCTCAGGCTGACCATCTAATATGATGCCGAGTTCATGTGATAGCAGGTGTTGAACAAATAGCCCTGGCTGCCAATAGACTCATACCTTGAACATGGGATTTCTATGGTGTGCAAGCTTGTTTGTTTGAATAATTCTGAATATTGTCTATATAAAACCATCGAAAGTCTACATGACATACTAGTCTCACTCATCAGGTAGATATATAGCCGCCAATTTAGGCAAAGTGTGCTAGACAAAGTTGCAATCTATTCCAACTTGCCGAGCATAAACCTGCGATGTTCAACGGCTTACATCATTCAATCTTCAGTGCAGTTTACGTGGTCCTTCTTCACTCACTTCGATCGCCACAGAGATCGATCTCATTTCGTTGAGGCCAGGGGAATCTGCAAGATTCTTTTCGCTTGGGCAGATGGCATGGTTTTCCTTTTTCCGTGTGGCCGCGCTGTCGTGGACAGGCACGTGGCTTGGCGCGTTTTTCGCTCGCGGAGGGCACCACGGTCACGCGCCGATCATGCCCAGTCACGCGCCGAAAAGGAACCAAAGAATGTATCCATCTCCAATAGGGAAAGAAATGAGGAGTCTGTTGGAAGCATGGCCGGTGAAGCCCCAATATGGCACGTGGATCCCAGACTTGTTATCCGTTCTTGGTGGAAAAGAACATGTGCAGATCACCTTTTGAGCTGGAAAACCCGAAAACCAAACGCTTGTGACCACAGGCTCACGAGCCACAGACGTGAGCAAGCTGCTGCGCCATGAGCGCTCAGGATGACCATAGGCTCGTCTCGGAGGATCTGGCGTGGGCGTTTCCTTGAGAGGGAATTAACTATGAATAACTCATCTCCCGGACGTCCCGGACCTATGCTCATTGCCATTGCACTTTCGTTGCCTCAGTACTGAGACGTGAGATGGTCCTCGGACATCACCTGGAGACAGAGGACACTCGGTCAGACCGTCCTGGGACACGGTCTGTTCGGTCAGACCGTGCGAGTCGCGCAGGTTTGGCGTGTGGTGTTCGTCAGCTCTTCCCCATTCTGCTCTCCTTGGTCTTCTGTGGGGCGGCTGGGTTTGCATGTGAATGCGTTTTGGAGCCTTCAAAAAGAACCCAGACGCTATCAGTGTATGGCACATTTGGTTACATTATGTTACATTCATCCCTGAAACCACCGCAATGTATGCAAATTCCATACATGGAGCGTATGGGAAGGTTTCTTCCAGTTCACTCTGGAAAATTGAACTGCATCGAGTGAACTGAACCCCATCGATTTGGTGGGTGGCCTGCGTGTTCCAGAAGCCTGAAGCATGACATCAAGAGTCAAGGGTTGCTATTAAACTTTAAACATGCATGGCAAACTTGTAGCTCTCGCGGCCTTGTTCTGGGATCTAGCTGAGCCAAATGTAAGTGACCAACATCAGAGGTGTTCCCATGGAATTTGTCATGGCATATGCTACCCTTTCACAGCATGCTCTCCCTTTCGCTGCCCTGAATCAGACCCGAGGTTTGGCTTCTATTGCATCCCAGCCTTCCTGGCTGTGAGGGCGGTGCCGTTGCGCGCCCTCCACCGGACGACTGGCTCTCACCGGAGCAGGCGGGCAGGGTCTCAAGAGCTTGGGACCCCTTCTATGACTGGGTTCAGATAGAATTCGAAACAAATGTGTTGGGGCTCCCTAGGGCATAGGAGTTATCACACTCACTGTCACTGCCGTTGGCAAACAGGCAAACAGGGATAACTATCAGTTGGATACGCAAGCACTCTCTCCTCTTTTCTTCTTGTTTGAGAGATCTAGCCATTCTGGACTGGATGGTGCAAAAGAAACATGCAGATATTTGTTGTAACTGCTATGCCCTAGATGGGCTACAGAAACACCAATCGCCCCGAACAAAAATTAAAAAGCCCGAAACAACAAAACAACACTGTTTGGAAAATTATTCGGAAGCTTTTGAGAAAATACGTTTCTTTCGATCGGTATAGGCACTTTGGGTTTGCGAGAGGCTTCCACTAACTACTACCAGCATCAACCACTTTGACAAGGATTGACTTTTCGTTTGTTTTCAGTCAGGATTGGCATGTTGGGCGCTGTTGTGATGGTGCCATTTCACAACCAGATGGTGTTGTTTCTTTTTGAGGTCCTTTTCTTGAACTGTTCTTTGTGCTTAGTCTGCTGTTTGGCACTTTGGGAAGGAAAGAGGGAATCGTATGGACTGGTGTGCCAGGCAAAGGCACTGCAGACAGAGAACACGCAGTTGAGCCTTGAGCTAGAAAAGGCCGGGCGGGAGTCGGCGGGAGAGGAAAGGATGTGAGCATTTGCACCAGACGCGTATTTCTTTGCGACTGATGACTTCGCTGCACAGCTACTAGTTTGGTTCCTGTGTAGCATAACTCAGTTGTTGGCGCGTTGCAACAGTTTGGAGACATCCTACAGGCCAAAGAAGAACTGCAGAAGTTGAACTCCACCTACGGGCAAGTCGTCTCAGCTTATGCCGCGGCCAAGGACGCGGTTCCCTCGGGTTCCACAGTGTGCGATGGATCAGGAAACTGCCAGCTTAGATCGTCCAACTGTGTGGCGGCTTGGCGGCTCAAGTGAACAGGGCACGAGGAACACACCTGGAATGCGAATGCAGAGCGATCACCTTGGGATGGGTATGTCAAAACCTGAAGCCCGACCAGTCCACCATGTAGAAACAACGACCTTGCGAGTGCCATGGCCCACAGCCACCTCACCGCCTGTCATAATAATGTTGACTCTTGATTTATAAACCACCCCATATGAAGAGGGTTATTTATCAAGAGTCAACATTACCCTTCATATTCTGCAGATTCTCCAGGAGCAGCTGGATTCAACCACTGAGATGCTGCCGTTGGAATCGCACAACACTTGTGGAGCACCCTCGTCTTTGGTAGGTGCCGGCTGCCGGGTGGAATGAGCACGATGCTTACGATGTTTACTCGACATAAGAAAACTGTTTGTTTCATGTGCATGAAGTCAGCAAATAATTTGCAATCTGAACATGACCGAACTTAGAACTGAGCGATCTAGGGCTTATGGGTCGTCCTGCCTGCTAGTCAGATTTGTATAAGTGTATAAGTCAAACAATTGCAAGATCGGTACCACAAATTTGTATGCAGCATCCATGAGAAGTTCTTGCACAAAATAAGAGCTGCTCAGAGGCCCGGGCGACTATACTCTCAAAACAACAGCAGATGCCCCTAGTAGCGATGCCAGGAGCCCCTAGTATCGTCCTTGCTCTTAGTAGCAATGCAGCAGATTGTTTACATTGTCCAGTTGTTAAGACTATAATATATATAAGATATACAAGGGCCATAAAGCCATTCTGCCTCCCCTTTTGGCCCTTCACCGCCCCTCACCATCGCCCCCGTTCGGTTGCCTTCAGTCTTCTACCCTCCCACCGTACCGGGAAACCCGCCAGCCACGAGTGGCCGCGTCTACTGCGGCGACGTCTCCTTAGAGCTCGGACGGGCCCGCGACTTCGCCCACTGCGCCTGGGTCGGACGCATTGGATGACAGCGGGGGATCGGTGGATGGGCCGGATGGGTCCGCAACAAGGGGTAACCTGTGGAAACCTGTGGTTCCCCACCTGAGAAGCAACATCAAGTGCAAAAGAATCCACATGACACCCCAAGAAACCCGGCACAAGTCATGAAATGAAATATGTGCGAGGTGGTGGTTTCGGATAGGTTTATGTTCAACCGTTATAATTCATTTTACTTAGGATTATTTTCAGTCATATAGTTGTCAGGTTGTCGTTCGTCAGTTGAAACCACCAACCGGCTTAAAGGGAACGCCAAATCTCTTGGCTCCAAATCCGAGGTCAACTCGCCTGCGCGATGAACTCCAGTTGTGAAGCTCGGCTCCACCAATGATGTAAACGAAACAATGATATATATATATGTTACTGTAATATGTTAATATGTTATCGGTGTCTTCTTTTGCTGCAATATGTTAATATGTTATCGGTGTCTTCTTTTGTTCTGCAACTACTTTGAGACTCTTTCCGGAACAACCATGTGCCTTGTTATTTTTGTGTATATGTTGCATGCAGCCCAGCATGATTGCAACTATATAGTTGCCACCAGTTGCACTGCCATTCTTTGTGCGAGGATGTGTTTGTTAGTTTCATCGCAGAAACGTAGCCCGTAGCTCGGAAGTACTTGTTGCTTTCTCGCTGAAGCCCAAAATCGTGGCGTCCTTCCATGTGCAAGACAGTGTGAGGCATTTGTTTTCGAGTTTCTGCTGTGTGCAGGATGTTTGAGCATCCAAGAAGACAGAGCGTTTGTTTTGTCTTGTCGCTTTGACTGTCGCCTGTCGCTTTTCTCTATCCTCAGTGTTGGAGGATGGTGAGTCAAATCCTGTCAAAATCATTGACTTTTCCATACCTATGACACTTTGCGGCAGCGCGGCAGCAGCTGCAGCAGCTATCCAATGCTGTGAATGTTGTGTCCACAACCCGCATCATGTGCATCCGCTTCTCGAGCAGGAAGGAAGGGAAGAATCAAGGAAGGAAGCAAGGAAAGAATGAAACCAACAAGAATAAAGACAAGAAAGGAAGAAAACCCAGCAGAAAGAAAACACAGATAGATATGATAGATGATGAAAGAAGGGAAATACATAAAACAAATGGTCATGCGACAAATTATGAAAAAGGAAACGACAAAGGAACGAATCAAGAAACGAAAGACAGAGTGATCTTGGAGTGGGCAAAATGCGGAGCAGTTCCAAGAAATTGCAGCGATGTTGCATGCATGTATGTATGTATTTGTATCTCAGATACATATCATCTAAAATCATCTATAAACATATTTCACACATATGGTATAGATACGTGCTTTTTTGCCGTATACCTTTGACTCTGGCCGACTGAACGGCTGGAGTCCAGGAGTTTTACAGCTACTGGAGTTCCGGCCGTCGGACCCGCCTTTGCCGGAAGCTCGAGTGGAGTTTCGGGGGCGTGGCACTGCTTCAGGGTGTTGAATGGGTGTTTAATGGGCCAATTTTGATTCCTAGATGGTGCAACTAGCTTGTAATGTTTTGCTTCTTGGGGGTATATGATTTGTGTCAAAAGATGTCAAAGATTTGGTGGCGACTTCCCATCCATGTGCCAGAGAGCTACGACATGCAGACTGACCAGGCAGTGTGCCGAGTGAGTGTGTTTTGAGTTCCCCTTAATGGGGCACATCATCATGGGCGCGCTTGGCTCAGTACCCACTTTTGTCACCTCATGCGCATTGGTGGGAATTAGAGGGAGCAGAAGGACCTCAAACGGGTGGGTAAACAGACTGGCCACACTAAATCTACAGGGGGAGGATTGCATTCCCACTTTACCAACAATCATCTACACCATGGTCCTTGTGTGTCCTTGGCCCAGCAAATGGTATTGGGAACGTTAAGCACAAAAGAGCCGCTCGATGCCGTCCGATCGCTCCGTTCGGTTCGCGAGGCCAGCCCCGTTCGTAGCTTCTTGTTCCGTTCGTAGCGGGCATAGTTAATCAAGGTTAATCAAAATTTTACAGACCCAAACACCTGGCTTTGACAGCTCTCTGTGATGTTCTTGACAGCTCACCTCTCGACTCGCCCGTGTCATGCGTTCGACTTGGCGTTCGGTGCTTTCGAATGAAGAATCTCCTTGAAGCCCCCTCAGAGCGTGCATACCAGTACTAAGTTTAAGACTTTTCTTCCCGACTGGAGTTATTTAAGCACCAGACAGAGGTAAATAAGATGATAATTATACGAAAACGCACACATGCATGATCATGCATGTGTCTAAAACTTAAGCTCCAGCCATACGTGTTTTCCCTGGAACGCGTAAACAGCATCAGACCGAGGATCACTTCGTCTTGCGATCACAAGGTGAACGTGAAGGAGTTGAACGAGCATGTGGCTTGCAATCCAGAAAGGTGGGCTGTCCGGCCGGCAGAAGAATTCGAGTCCTCAAGGCCACCAGGCCGGAAGCGTGGAAGATGGAAGCGGGCCGAAGAACAGAGAAAACACCATTTGTAACTCCAGTGGTTCGACTGGTGCCTCTTCATCCAGGTACCTCTTTCTCCAGAATCTGTCATCTTTGGAGCAGCCTTTGAACATGCCTGCATCGAGAATTGTGCCATGAACTGGGCAAGCACGGTAGAGGAAAACCACCAAGTTCAGGATTAGCGTCTTGAGGCCACTGAGGGTGCCATGAAATGAGAATGCCTTGGTGCATTGTTTCTGTTGGCATATTTGGCTGATAATCCGATAAACAGGTTTGGGTGCTCAGGTCATATCAAGCTGATATATTTAAAAAATATATATGAGCATATATGGTTGCTAGAGATTCCAGCCCTGGAAGCCAATACAGAATCTGATCATGGACCACAAGGACAATGGCTTTGTGATTTCAGGTCTTGAAGACCTAGGGGCACGGAGAAGGGAGAAGGGAGCCTTGAGATCGTGTCAGAAGCATCTGGCTGTTTGCATCAGAAGTGACAGACTTGCCACCCACATCAACCGGGAACCATGGAAAGTGCTTTGGCATGAATTGTCGCCAGATGAGAGTCTCAGGGCTCCATAGGAGCTAATGCCGAGCAATACTGTAGGAACCAGAAAGCACCTCAAAGGGGACTAATCGCTCACCACTATGAACCTGGCAAAGGCATGATTACTGTGTAAGTGCTTCTCTACAACTCCAGACCATGGGTCATGTTGCAAGAGCTTCTATACCTTTATATATAATCATTGGACGCTTGTCTGTCAATTTGCCGGAGCAATCCTGGATTCAATATTGTGAGCAATGCTCCTTGGGAGGCACCGCTTTGGGGGTGGCTTTCATCAGCTGTGAACTGAGCAAGCTAGCTGCACAAGGTCAAGGCATGGATATAGTTTTGAAATGTTTTGAATGGGCATCTCGGGTTTCGGCGCAATCATTTGCTCGTCTGCATTCATCCGCGCTCTCTAGTACGGTTCGATACCCTTCACTTGTGCAGGTTGCTTCGCAAAACGATACCGCACAAACAAGGATTTACATGGTACTTGCATCACTTGAACGGAATCTAGGCACCGTCATGGTGGATGAACATTTCGTGCTGAGTTGGGATGCCCTGCTTGCGTGTCGAATGCATGCTGCGAGTGCTCACAAACAAGCTTACCAGCCGAGGTAACTTCAACTAACAATCTCTGATTGCTCCAGGGTCACTGAGGTGATCGCTTGTGTCCTGTCAGGGCCAGCATATTATTATTGCTACTCCAAAAGAAGTGTGCGAAGGGACAGCCCGATTGCTTTTGACACGCAGCGTGTCACGAAGCTAACACCAGCTAGCTGGAGTCGTTCTTGCTTTAGCGAGTGAGGGGCTGGAATCCTCGAGAGCTCCGCATCGCGTGAAACTTGGCCGCCCCCCCCCGGCGGGCTCAACTCCTCCCTGGGACATCTCTGGGACGCGTGTGTTTCCTTTCATCACCAACCCTCGGCCTCAAGTCGTTGTTGCAAGCCGCGGTGATTTTCAACAGCCGTCGCTTGGAGGCCGTCCGCAGGTGACCATGTGTTCCAAGGTACAGATCTACCAACGTGTGGTGCCCGTGAGCAGCAAGAGGCCGGCGTTGTTTTTTGTTGTTTTCGCGGCGGGGCTGCGAGGGGTTTTTGATGTTTTTAGTTCCGCCACATTGTTTTCAATTACAAAAAAATACCAAAAAACGGTCTCCAGGCCGAGCTTGGTCTTTTTCGGGTCTTTTGTTGGATGCACTTGTTTGCTCGAATGATGATGAAAGAGATGCTGCACGAACATTGGATCTCTTCAGGCTGATACGGCTACAGCAGTTACGGTGTTTTTGGTCACAATTCTCCAAACCCAGCAAGTCCAAAGGACGGGTTAAACTGTTGCGTTAGCGTAAAGGACGCATTTCACCTCCCAACGACCTAATTTTCACAGGTTTTTCACGGCCTTTTCAAGCTTCCAACTCCCGTTTAGCTAAAGCACCGGTTAAACCAGTGCGTTACTAAAGAACTGGTTAAACTGGTGCGTTGACCCACTGGGCAGTGTTGAAATCGCCAGCAATTGGGTATACATGATCAATCAAGTTTCCACAGTATTCAGTGACATGGTGAAATATTGTTCCCACCCACATTCACCTTCCCACCCTGCAACATCCTCAAACACGTCAGTATGGGTAAGGGAAACTGCGCTCCGCGAAGGAGTTTGCTCCAGCTCTTGGGGATGTATGACAGTGGGACCAACTTGATGCTGGCGACAATCGTGAGCGCCTCGGCACGGGCCAGCCAGTGAAGGCGTCGCGGATAGATGTCATTGAAATGTTACACGCGGGCAGCGGGACATGTAGTTTTCACGTTTCAACATGTTGGTTGGCCATCACAAAAGTTTGGACCCTAAGTTTGAGGGTGTTTCTGCGCTCAAACATTTGACGAAGTCTTGTAAGGATTTGTCCTTATCCCATTTGGCGCTGACGTTGTCAGGTATATACCTTGAAGTACCTTCTAGAACGAAACATTCGACAGTTCCTGCAAAAAGCACTACTTGGCTGGTTGGTCCATGATAATCTTTGGTCGGCACTCTTTGCAAGAGGTTTCATTGAAGGTGACTTCTTCCCGAGACAAATTCAAGTGGTACGACCTATGGCAGAAACTATTTTGCCTTGACTTCGCGGGCCCGCAATGTCCCACACGCTGAGAAGGCAGCAAAGCAATCAAATTTGTTACAGTAAAGGGAATCCTTTAGCCACAAATCCGCTGCCTCGTTGGGCTTATCAGGCAACTTCCCGCTTTGCTGCCAGCAAGCCTACCGCCCGGACATCATGGATCTTCAGATCGAAGCCCAAGACCATGGACTCCTGGCACGAAGGTCTCGCGAGAACGCCGCACGATGTGAGAGAGGATGGGTTTGGTTCAGTGGGTGTCGTGATTTTTCGGGGGAACGCAAGTTGCGTCAGGTTTCGGTCGGGTGTGTCATAGTATCGGTTCTTTGTAGAGTGCTTCAGATCACCAGGTCAGACTCTCAAAGCGGTTGGTCAGAACGACGGATCGCAAGGCACGCCTGCAGGGGTCGCCGAGTCCCGAGGCCGTTGCCTTCATTGGGCCACACCCGAGAAGCACGTGAACCCCTTGCAGATGCTCGATGCGCTAAAAGGCGAGAGAGGGTGTCTTAATGTGTCTTATCAATGCCGGTGGTCGAAAAAAAGACGTGGAACTCCGATGCCCATGGAACTCCATCCACTTCAGGACGAAAGGCGGTCATCCCGAGGGAAACACCCTCGCTGCCTTTTCTTTTTTTGGTGGACCCTAGGCCAGAAGATGAAACATTGGGATCCGAAGCTCGTGGACTTTCAGCAGAAGCACCAGATTGTGACTCAGCGAACAACTATAGAAGCTGGTGGCCATGGTGGTCAGCCTTTGGATGCCCTTTTTGTGGTGTGTGTGCCTTGTTTTAGGGTTTCATGTTCGGCGGGTCAAGCTGGTCAACACATCAAAGATCCAATAGGAAAAAGATAGCTATGTGGCCAAGATAGTGATATTGCATATAGATATGATGAGATGTCCTGATTGGCTATGATCCTGTTGAACAAGACCAACAGTCGTGGCTTCTACTCGCCTGCAAGCAAGCTACTCGTCGACGGGCCCTGGCAGAAACCCTGGATTCTCTGACCAGGCCATTGTGGCTTTGGTGAGAGATCCCCTGGCACAGCTGCAAAGCTGGAAGAAGGCCCGGGCCGAGCGTGTGTCGTGCATGCGTGCGTTTTGCGCGCCGAAGGTTGGCCATTCAAAGCTCCGAAAAATGAAAAAGGGACACATCATAGAAGCGTTTTTTGCATCAGCTCCTACTACTGACTGCAGCTTCAACTCAAGTTTGCCCCACTCAAGTCCTCGTCCTCGTTTGCCCTTGTTGCAAACGCCAGAGGGTTCACTAACTTCTCATAAAACAACTGGCGCCCAACACTTGAACTGCAATGAAATCTGACAGACAATCTCCAGTCAACCATGAGAAACTTTTCGGTGGTCAATCTCACCACTTTTCGCGTGATGGAAGTGCATCGGATTGGCGCAGATGGAATCAGATGGCCTGGAAATATATAGCATGTCACTTCGGACCATGATGCAATTGCAATTGGACTATATGGGACCCTGGATGACTTGTTTGCTCAGACTGAGAGTTACTGCTCAGCTACCCTGATTGCTTGAGCGAGGACTAGCTCAAACCAACAGATTGCGCGGGGAGTTTCCCATCATGCCATCACACCGCCATGAAGTTAATATCGTCCGGGCATGGGGAAGGAAGATTTCACGATTATGAGTTTGAGTTACTGGGTATACCGCACCATCCGTGGATCAAACCCTATTTTATGCTGGAGATGTAAAAACCGACCCGGCCAAAACGAGTGTTGTATACAAATCCGTGTGGTGTATGCGACTTTCAGCTATGTCCGACAGGCCCTGCTGCGTGGGTCAGTAGAGTGGGGTTCATGAGGTTCGTTGTGGATGCTACGGTAACGACAGTGCTGCGTGGATCATTGCTGCAGGAGGCCGTGGGGGTCAAAGAGTGATTTCCGCGTACGCCGGGTTAAGGCACAGGCAAGCAGTGTTGAGTATCGCAGCAAGCTGGGATTCCCTAGCTTGAGCTTTGAGGAATACGAAAGAGGACACACGGTGAGCTCAAGAGTGTGCCATTACGTCTCAGACGCAGAATCCAACTACATTTCAGGGTGGGTGGGTGGGTGGGTGGGCGGGGTGGAGATAATGACGTTTGTTGCGGATGGCAAGCAAACGCGATGTCTATTTCAAGGCCTCAATGCATGTGCAAATTGCCCTATCTAATCACATCTCCACACACACATATATATATTATATGCGTCTAGAGTTTCATCATCCATAATCATCCTGGAGTAGATAGAATCCGGATGAGTCCGGAATTGGTAGAGAGTAATATTTTTTTGAAACACACTTGATGGCTTTTGCCACGAAGACTAAATGTGAAAGAAAGACTCAGATAGAATATTGGGCCCACACATATACAGTATCTACTCCAGGATGTTATTACAGTAAGTCTTTAATTGGTGCCCTTGTTTTTCCTACTTTGTCTTCCATCTTCCTTTTTCTGTTGCTTCTCCCTTTTTCCATCTCCAGTTCCTTTTCCTCCTCTTCCTGCTCCCTTTCCTCTTTCTTTGCTTGCCCTTTTCCTACTCGTCTTTTTGTTTTTCTCTTCCTTATAGTATCCTCTCTATTTTCTTGTTGTTCTTGCAGCCGGCCACTTCTTAAGGACGTACAGTGAACCATGGGCAAAACAAAGGGGAAAGGTGAGCCCGCTGGGCGGTTGATGACACCCATAAAGATAGAATATTGAAAGTCGTTGGTTGAATTTGTCATGTTTTTTGCTAGTCAGAGATTGAGGATGATTGATGTATATATATATAGAATGTTTTTTGAAACAAATATTGACTAAAATCAATGTTCTATCTATGTTTTGGCCTGGACCGAGTTTTTTGAACATGAGGACATCCTATTTACTCCAGGATGCTTAACCATACGTACAACACAACACATACGAACAATTTCTGTTATCAATGTTTGGTCATCACACTAAATGTTGTATATAATTTTGGCCTTAATCCATGCATGGATTTCTGGCTCGCCTTATCTGGAATGTGCGGTTCCTCAGGCGCCTTATGGCCTGGAGCGGTGTGCCAAGCGGAAGCGTTGCGCCTTCCACAGCACCGCCACGGATTGCGCCTGGGGGCCGAGACGGATTGCGCCCCGCAGGGAGTGGTCGTTGTAGCCGGCCGTTGAGACGAAGTAAACCACGAAACCACCAGATCATCCAACAAACTAATGAAGCAGGTCCCTCTACCAACGCGCGACAAGTTTCAAGGTCCGGGAGTGACACAGCCCATCTAGGCAGTGCAGGTCCCCTCTACCTTTCCACTTTCAACCTTCCAATCGCGGTTAGGCCAGTTAAATGCGCTGCTTGGCACCCCAAAACATGTCTCCAAACTCCAACCCCCCCAAAATGCTGCAGGCGCCGAGCTTTCCTTCTCGTCACCACCGCTCGGCGCCGAGATCCCCACGACTGCTTGGATCACCGAGCCCTGCACCTGGTGGGACCCCGCCCGACACCACAACGCAGGCGGGACGGTTCTCGGCGCAGGCGGATGAGGGTTCCACACTTCAAAAGGACCAGTGTTGGGGTTTGCTTCAGAGTTCTGGAGTCGGCCGTTTTCAGATCATCATGTTGTGGAGGTTCACTTCATGAGTTTGGCTCCGCGGGCAACGAGACTGATTAGGAAAGGGTGAAAAGTATGCACTTCGTGTCCTCACTTAGTTTCATTTGCCCAAAAGAGTTGCACTTGTAGCCTACCACTATGTGCCATTCACCAAGACTAGCACGGAAGCCTAACCATTTAATCCAGTTCCCAACCTGCTGCGTTTATAATCCTGCCCTAATGCCTACACTCCGACCATGGAAGTGGAGAACCTCCTGTTCGGCAAGGAACATCCTCTTCCTTACGGGGCCATGCCATCCACTTCCATGATGTGTTCGTCCTCTTTGGGTGGACGCTTTGGTCACTCGCCGACTCGGTCCCTCGCGCCCGCCGTGGTGTCACTCGAGGCATCACCGGAGGGTCCTTTCCATCGTTGCCGGCGATCTGGAATGGCTACACTTTGGGCTATTGGAGGCCTGGTCGGGCTTGGGGAGTGACGAAGTCCAAAACGACGGGCTCAAAAACTGGTGGAAGACTGTATTTATTAGATCTTCTGACTCAGGCTCTCAGTTAATTGCAAACTGTTGCAGTGTTTGCAGGTCAGATTGGGGTGTAAGTACGTTGCTCCGAGGTTGAACGAGAGTATAGAAGCTGGCTGTTGTACAACGCAGTGGTTTTGCAGTGGGCTGATGTTCTGGTGTATATGGCAGTTGTTTCTTAGTTGGGCTATGTCTGGATGGCTTGAAAGTTTCCATCTTACTGTTTCCCACATTGGCCACCTAGAATGCAACTTCCAATGGGTGCCCAATGATGGAGACCTATAGGTAGGGTAAGGTTGTCCATTGGTGTCCCGTTGGAAGCACCTGGTAGAATGGAACTTTTGTTTGTATGTTCCACGGTACTTTCATGGGATCGTGCTTTCAAGTGCTGCTTCTATGTTCTCTTATTTTTTTTGTTGAGAAGATTTTGTGGGGGTCACAGTATGCATGCTTGAAAACGTTTTGATCAGGTTTCATCCTTCATTCATTCCAAAAAACGGATGCGTCGGACCGATCCTAGCTGCTCCCGGGAAAACGCGACACGTGGATCGGTGGATTGGCAGGCTGAAACAGGATCGAAACGGACTCCTGTATCTCCTGTGACTCCCTAATTGCTTAACAGCTATACAATTAGGCCATTAACATCTACCCCATAGGCCCATATAGGTCCCCTCACTGCAGGGAAGATGAATAAAGCCTATATAGGTAACTGCATCCCTCCAAAGGGTCGCTCATTGAGACCTTTTGAAGGGTTCAACATGGTTCAACCAATTCGAACGCGTCGACTCGTAAACCAAAAGAGACCGATTTGCGATTGGCGACGAAGTGCTCCTTGAGCGGATCCACCACTTCGTGCTCTCTGCTTCACTCTGCCTCACTGCTTCACTTTTTTCCCTCATGGATCGAATCGAAGTGTCATTTTACTTGATGCCTCAGGCTGCGAGCGGAGTCTGGCTACAAGCAGGTCTTGCTGGTGAAGTTTGAGGAGTTGGTCATGGCCCCGGCTGCTGTGGTCAGCAGGACATCCATTGAACAAAATTACTGTATACCTGTATACCAGCATAGACCCCAAACAGTTTCAAAACGATTCGTTGGGACCAATACTAGTCAAAAACGGTTTCTTGGTACGCCCTACCTTCCCCCCAAGAGCAAATTGCTTTATCAATGATTTTTGTCGGCATCGACATCTCTGATTGTAAGAGAAGAGCAGGACAAGAGGAGGACAAGACCCGGTCACAGAGCCGCCACAGAGTTCACAATCAGTGTGTCCAGGGCTGGTCAGCGCGGCCAGAGGACAAGAGGAGGACAAGACCCGGCCACAGACCGCGGCCACAGAGCCCAGCCACAGAGTTCAGGGGCGCAGCCAGCTCTCTTTTTTACCCAACAGTAACAGTGTGGGCACACTGAGGGGTTCTTGCGGTAAGTGAAAAGCAGGTGTGCTTAGATCGCTGTTCCGCGCGGGCGTGAGCGGCTAATTCGTTGCTATTTACAATACATTCATGCCTCTTGACATCATCAATGTGCACTTCGACTGTGGCTCGTAGAATCTGGGTGGCCGCGGCGGGTGCTTCTAGCGACTGCGCTCTCGTTGTGCCGTGCGCATTTTGGTACATGGTGGTCACTTTTCGTGGCAGGCGCAAGGGAAACCTCGTGCCTATAGTTGGTGCTTCAAAGTCGACTTTTCGTGACAGGCGCAAGGGATCGGAGCTGTTTTACTTCGAAGTACAGTTTTCGAGGCAGGCGCAGCACTTTAGACATGGTGGTGATCGTGGAGGAGCTCAGATTTCGTGACAGGTGCAGTGACTCGTGACTTTTGGACATGTGGCTCGTTTGCAGATTTCGTGGCAGGCCCAGCACTCTGCAACCCTCGATGTGCAGATTTCGTGGCAGGTGCAGCACTTACGAACCTCGAAGTGTAGATTTCGTGACAGGTACAGCACTTTGTGAACCTCGAAGTGCAGATTTCGTGGCAGGCACAGCACTTGGTGAACGTCAGCCGAGCCCCTTTACCCACTTGTTTTGTCCACCTGCTTTGTGCCTTCAGGGCGATTGCTACGCGCCTACCTCGCCCGCAGACCCCCATGCGGAACAGGCCAAAAGCAAACAATAAACAGACAAACAAACAAACAAGCAACGCCAAAAGTAGGGACACGGTAAAGAGAAGCATGCATTGAATTGTGGCAGCTTCCTTCCCCGACCTCCCCGGCGTGGGAGCCGGAGCCCACCTCGCCGGCGTGCCCAACTTCCCCGGGCCCGGCAGACAGGCCAGATCCAGAAAGAGATGAAACCAAGATTGATGTAGCAGCCTATAGCCTTCGCAAAAACTATGTTTTCATGCTCAAAACGCTATGAGGCCCGGGCAGCGACGTTTGACCGAACAGATGCCCGCTTGCAGTCGGCGGTGGACATGGACGTGACTCCCGACCCCACTTGCTACCGGCGGCTCCGCGCAACCCCGAGAGGCATGCTTGTGACACGATTGTTTTTGTCAACTTGTCAAAACGCTTTTGCTTCATGCCCAGCCGTCGTGAATTGGAAACTTCGCTTCGCCTTGCCGTTTGGCAGGCTTTTGCCCTGGGATTGGAGCGCCGTCATCCCTGGCGCGCTCCGCTCCAGCCGCGTCACCCGGGAGATCAACTCCACGCTTTTCAGCGTGGACTGGGGCAAAAAGGGTGACAAGCCGCGGCGGCTGCAACTCTGGAGCCACAACTCTTCCGGCCTCCCGCTTTCTTTGGAGGCCGCTAACGGTATACCAGAAGTTGGGTATAGTTGGGTATAGTCTTAGTTGGTTAAATTTGGCAATGGGAATCGTAGAGCGGTCAGGGATTTGGGATCGTGATGACGTTATCGTGGAGGTGAGTGTGGGTGTTACTTGTGGAATCTAATTGAGTATTATCTAGAGCCTGGCGAATGTGGCGTTTTGTTTTTCTGGCGGCATTTTGTTCGATGACGGCAATTTTCCACTCTGGTGGCAAAAATTTTGGCAACAATGGAAAGCGGCACTTTTTTCGTCCACCAGGTGGATCTAGGTATGGTTCAATCGAATAGCCAGGTTCGTTCGTTTTGTGTCCGTGCTGTGCGCGGTCGACCCTGGCAAGGCTTTTTCTACGCGGAAATAAGGGCTGGTCATCTATTCCTCCGAGTCCTTGTCCGGCAGCGTGTCGGCGACGAAGGCCTGAAAGTCTTATAGACGGTTTTCGATCAATCAGACGCGCGGCGCGAAAAACTCTACGGCTAGATTTGGTGAGGTTTTGGCCCACGCCGAATCCGCGCAGCACGCCCGGCTCCCCTTGCTGCTGACCCCGTCGGCGTCCGTGCCCATCTCTGCGGAGGCATCGGGGTGTTTGCAAACTATTTTGAAGGGCCTTCTAGGTTTGATGCCTCGGCATCGGAGTTCTGTATTTGTGTTTGGTCGGGCACGCCGCTGTTTGCCAAGGATGAGACGCACGAGGACCCCTTCCACGGCAAGGTCAAAGTGACCGATGGCCTAGCCGAAGTGGGGCCGAAGCTCGCGGAGGATTGGATACTTAGGTGTCACTTTTTGATTTGCAAATACTTATAAGTCATACTTACGAAAGTTATGTAAGTCTGAAAAAGGACTTACAGAGAATTTACAAAGATTTACAAAAACCACGTTTGGAGACTGCTTTGGCAGCACTTGCAGCGCGTGGAAATTTGCACGCATAAAGCCATAAAATTCTTGTTTAAAAAACTACGAAATTATAATATCTATGTAGCCGCACGTTTTCTGGATACATATTGTATTTCTTTTGGTCTAAATATGAAACGTACCTGTCAATGTGCACATATCACATCCTGTATATATACTGAAGATTCTTGGGTTTTGCTTTTCATATTTCGGTCATTACCGATTGTCGGTCGTTACCGAAGGTTGACATTGACCGTGGCATTTGGTTTATAGTCAGGGGGTTCGGATTTCAGCTCGAAGGCACCTTCAGATATGGGGGACGAAGAGAAGCCGGTGTCTTTACCCATTGAACAGTACTTTGGCAGTTTTGAGACACACGCAAACATAGCGTACATATTTTCCATTTTAAGCACGACTCGAAAAATCACTTGTGGGAACGGTCATTACCGTGGGTCTTGAATTAGGGTCATTACCCAAAACCACCCCATACCACCCCATAACACCCCATACCACCCCATACCACCCTATACCATCCCTATACCATCCCTATACCATCCCCATACCATCCCCACACCATTCCCATACCATTCCCATACCACCCAAGGTATCCCCATACCATCCCCATACCATCCCCATACCACCCCATACCACCCCATACCACCCTATACCATCCCTATACCATCCCTATACCATCCCCATACCAGCCCCATACCATTCCCATACCACCCAAGGTATCCCCATACCATCCCCATACCATCCCCATACCACCCCATACCGTTCCCATACCATCCTCTACCATGATCAGTTTTTATTGTGTTCCAGTTGGATGATTGAACATTTCTTCTCATTCAAAGATGCGGCCATTACCGTCCACATGCTGGATATTGAATGCATGAGGCCATGAGGAATCAAACTGCGGAGGACCGTCAGGATACCGAAACCAGTGGTCAACTGAATTATGAATTGGGTGAACATTTTTCCAGTTGGATGCTTGCGGTAAAAACGGTCATAACCGTGCACTGTGAATTTCGGTGATTACCGATGGATCGGTCATAGCCGTTTTTGAGGTCCATGCAAATATGTTTCAGTTCATGGCACTTTATTTCTAGGGGCATTGTCTTTAGAACCTTCGAGCCACCCATGATAGTATGTATACGTCCACACATATCGTCCACATATCTATTCAGACGTGCGGCTACATAGATATACATCCATACTATGCTATGATACTATTTCTGAAAGTTAGCAAGTGCAACAAACCCAAGAAGCACAAACAAAAACTTTCAGCCAAGGCTGACCTTTCCTAATTCAAAAGCCAGAGAAAGGTTGCGTCGCCAAGAAGCACAAAAGGTGCAGTTTTATCTCACAAAGTCGGCTTTGCACGCAACAACCAAAATGGCGCTTGCTCACAGTTTAACCACAGATATTTGCAATCATCATTCTTCAAAATCTGCCTTTTGCATTTCATAGCACAAAAAACTCAAAAAAAAATAATTTTAGAAACACTAAAAAATAAGTCTTTTGGAATTTACAAAAATTATGAAATAGTTTTTGTAGATTTTGTAACCATACTTATAATCAACTACAAATTCAAAAGTGACACCTAAGTAGGAAGTCCATGTTTGTGTGTTTGTTCCGTTTTGTTCTATTTTCTGGACCCCATCTTTTTCTGGCCTTTGTCAGGAGCTCAGGCTTCTGGTGGGCGTCGCCAAGGACGGTATATAGGAAACTTTACAAAGCCGTCCACTTCCGCTGCATCCTTCGCGAAAGCCTTGCGAATCACATGTTTCTAGGCGCGGCTGGCACAGTTGATTGCCTTATAGGTTTCATGCGCCCGCAATTTGGTGTTTTCAGGCAAGGGCATGCTCATGGTGAACGGGGACGGCGCCGTCGACCCGTAAGCATCCGCTTCCGGGACTCAAACACCATCCGCTCAGCAAAGTTGCTGGCCTTCGAAAAAAGAAATGTGTTCTCCGACAGCGGCCGGAATTAAGTTTCGCCATCATTGTTTCAGGTCAAGATGAGTTGGCCCGTAACACCTGGCTCCATTGTGCCACCTTTGGCCATGGACGTCGTGAAGGCTGGTCAGTTTGCGGGCTTACTTTGAAATAGTTTCGCGGACGCTTGTTTCTTGAAAGGGGGTTTCTGAACGCAGGACACGGAGAACGCCAACCGGGCACCGTGCATCACCCCGCACATGGCCCAAGTAATGATGCTCCGAATTGCCCTTTGCAAGGACGCTGAGGCAGCTGGCTATTTTGTCTGTTTTGCGGCGCGCCGCCGAATTCCATCAGTTGCTTTTTTCGCGTGTGAGAGTGTGAGGGAGTGTGAGTGTGATTGAAAGTGGGAAAGTCAGAGTGGGAGAGTGAAAGAGTGAGCATCTGAGAGCACAAAGTACTGCGTCTGCCACGAAATCTGCACTTCGAGGTTCACCAAGTGCTGTGCCTGCCACGAAATCTGCACTTCGAGGTTCACCAAGTGCTGCGCCTGCCACGAATTCTGCACTTCGAGGTTCACAAAGTGCTGTACCTGTCACGAAATCTGCACTTCAAGGTTCACCAAGTGCTGCGCTTGCCACGAAATCTGCACTTCGAGGTTCACTAAGTGCTGTGCCTGCCACGAAATCTGCACTTCGAGGTGCACAAAGCGTCACAACATCTGCACTTTGAGGTTCACAAAGTGCTGTACTCTCGCACTCTCACTCACACTCACCCTCACTCTCACCCACACTCACCCGCACCCACCTTCACTCTCGCTCACACTCACTCACTCTCACTCTCACGCACACTCACTCACCCACCTTCAGTCTCACTCACACCCACTCTCACTCTCAAACACACACTCCCTCACACTCTCACTCTCCTACTTTCACTCACACTCACACTCCCTCACACTCTCACTCTCACGCACACTTACTCTCGCACTCACACTCACTCTCCCACTCTCACTCACACTCTCACTCTCACCCGCACTCACTAACACCCACGTTCACTCTCACTCACGCTCACTTACACTCGTCACTCTCACTCTCACTCTCACTCTCACACACTCACTCTCCCACTCTCACTCACACTCCCACTCTCACACTCACTCACACCCACCTTCACTTCATCACCACCATCACCTGTCTGGACCCCAATGCGTCTAGATCTCTCTAGACTTTCTGCTTACAGACCTCACACACACTCTGTTTGGGGTCTCTTGCCGGGATAATTTTCTGAGATAGAACCCCAACAGTAAACTGTTTGGGGAATCAGACATGGTGGAGGAGGCCGTTAGGTGTTTCGACGTGTTCCCTTCAACGGTTCTTTCTTCGGTGGACTCTTCCTTTTTGAAGCAAGGATGTTTTACAACTTCATTTGGAGCTTGGGTTTCTTGGTTGAGACTCAAGTGACAGGAGGTGGACCCAATTGCCGCCCCTTGGGATAAAATTCGTTTTTGCGTGGCGGTACATTCAGAAGTCAACTTGAGTGACCCAAATAGTGCTTGGGGCTTCCTGTACCATAGTTTCCCACCTCATGGGAACCTCTTAACCTCATTTCCGTGATGCACTCAGGTTCCGTTACGACGCTTTACCCATGTCTACCCCACACTGCCCGCACCTTCGCAGGATCTCCGAAGCCATGGACATGCGGGTCCACAGTGAGGCGGCGACCGCAAGCTCGGGTCGGTTTCGTCGAGAAGATGGCATCTGGGGATCCGGTCGGTTTCGTTGAGAGATCCAAAAGCTTCCGGGAAACCGAAATACACGTGTTCATCTACCATGCCACCAGGTGTTGGTACAAACTATAGTAACGACTATAGGGTAGGTTCGCAGAAAACCTCTCTGACCATGGGCCATGTGAAGATGAAGCGCGATTCCTCACATCCACCAGATGTGAGGTTTTTCTGGATCCAATTAATGTTTCTTCTAGAACCTTCCATGACCCTGCCGCCCTGCCGACCTGACCCTGCCCGAGTCCGTCACGTATGAGTTTGCACCCGGCCGGAATCGAGGACGTGGCGGTGGCCGAGAGGGCGGCCAAGGCGCATGGGAAGGCCAAGGACCGTAGACGCTCGGCCCAAGCCGAAGCGAGGAACTCGGGCGTGGAGACGCAGGACGCCTCGAGGGGGTGGGAAGTTGACATCCTGAGATACTTGACACACTAACACACAGCTATGTTCAAGAAGTGAAGTAATTCCGTAATACAGTATTACATTATTTGTTGTGTTTTTTCACTTTCCTAGGTTGAATAATGTTGAACTATGATGAGCTATGGCTTGGACATTACACCACATACCAGGGTCTTGAAACAAGATTCCACAAGTATGAACCAGATTCCCTTTGTTGTGCGACCATGGCGCCTGCAGGGATGGATGGTGACCCGTGAGGATCTTCTACCATCCAGTTATTCATGAGGGGTTCTCTACCAGGTCAAATGGCCGTAGACCAAGTCGTTTGTTTTTGGGCAAGGCCTGTTTTTTTTCTTTACGCCCGCACAGGCTTGTGCACTGAACAGAGCCTGCTGATAGTCATTTCAATGTCAAATCCAAGTTGCCAATTGCTTTATTGGGGGATATGATGGGCTTTTAGCATCGAAGCTGACTTTTGCCACAAACAAGGCAACAAGCAGCAAGGCACAAGGCAAATTAAACCAAACGCACTTGCCCAGTCGCCACCAGTCCCCAGCTGAGATGCAGCCATCAAGTCCTTGGAATCACGAGACTTCGTGAAGAGCTACACCGCCAAGGACAGCAGCTGTGCAATTCTTCTTCATCCTGCGCCCGTTGTTCTTTTTCGACCTCGGGGCTGTCATGCTTCGATGCGAGTCGTATGACCTCACCGTGCTTCGGTGGTCCCGAGTCACTGCGCACCACGAGAGAATCGCTTCGCTTCGCCTCGGTCGTTTGGGCGTTTGGCTGCCTGCTTCGGTGCATGGTCGGTGCTGGTGGCCTTCGCGTGCCGTGCCGCAGTCGTAGGAATTGAAGGCCACGTGCATCCGCTTGAATTTCAGCCTGGCCTCGAGCGTGGGGTATCGATTGACGGAGTGTGAGGACTTCAAGGCCTGGAGGTTGGTTTGCAACGGGGGGGGTTTTGGATGGCTAAACGGTCCGCACATCGAACGGTCCAAAACAAGAGAGAGGGGTGTGTGTGTCCACCCCTGGACAAAGGGTTTTCCACCGCTACTCCTTC